AACAGCATCTTCCCCAGTAACTTGATATCATCAACGTATACTGCCAGCCCACTCCACTGACTTCCCACCGAAATCGAGCCATCTCTGCGGCCCGGAAAAGGGCCTAATTGATCGGTGCCTCTTGCAAGCTGCACAAGGAATTTTTACCTCCCAAATTCGGCATACTCCAGCTTCGATCAGCACTCGTGGTGGGCGGTTCATCAGCAATCGTCGCGAAGCGTCTCGTCGAGGCACTGGTAAGAACGCTTTTTTAACGTGCAGGCTTGCTGTCCTCCATCCTTCCAACGCACTTTTCCTCAGCAAGGCTCTGAGCACCGTGGCATCCGCTCCACCAGCATGGAGTTGATGTTGGTGCCTCCAAAGGACTTGGCGCCTTTTTTCAGCTTGAAAACGAGTATTTCTTGTTGCACTTCAGCTTCTGCTCTGCCGTTGCTTTTGGGGATCATCACCTTGTGTGAAGGTGTGGGTCATGTTTTTGTGAGCACACTATGTTGCCACCTCTTGAAAGCCCTTTTTCTCGATCGCTGTGAAGCTTCATCAAATTGATGCAGCGAAAGCGAGGATGTAGTCGTGACAGTCCCGCTAGCGGTGACATGACACTTTGATCCTCCAAGATCTCTATCATCGTGAGGTTCTGGAGCTCGTGAGGTTGCTTCACTCATCTTGAATCAACTTCTTCTTCTTCTTCTTCTAAGCCTTCAACCGGCTCAACCCCCTCCAGGTGCTTCTCCTCCAAGGTCTCTACCTCCGGGCACTGGGTAGCTGATCTGGAACTGGAGTAGCAAGGTCCTTGACCGACGTGAACCGGCCAATAATGTCAATGGCCAGGGTGAGGGCCGCAGAAGCTGTTTTGGATCTTCGATGGGATGTCGTGTGCCCATCGCTTCGATTCAAGCACGGCAGTCGCGACTAAACGGCACATGCTGCATCGATCCAGGTCTAATTTCGCCACCTGGACGGGGCGTCGTCCTCCTTGAGCATCTCCTTCAAAGAATACTGATGGCACGAACAAAGCCCGGCGACCATTCGGACCAGCTCCTCGATGCTGCCATTCTCTGACGAAGCTCTCCACCAATTGGATCAGTTGCACCTCCTTGCAGTGTTCCAACCTCTCCATCATAGGCAAGTTTGTCAACAGTCCAGTGGGTTTTCTTCTGCAGTGACCGGTCGCTCTATGATCAAAGCAAACCATTTTCATGTTTTCGTCCTCCTCAAACAGCTGTTGAAGTTGAGGCCATGCGAAGAACGATGGGGATTCTTGACCTTCCTGATACGTAGCTGGATCTTGAGGGCTCTCCAGTAAAAATTCTGTCATAAACATTCTCTTCGAGCTCTGTTGACACATCTTCCAAAGGCCAACCTGCTTGAGAACCAAGGCAGAATCATTGTTTGTCAGCTGAGTGTTCTGCTCCGACGGCTGTAAAAAGCCCCATCTCTCATGTCCTAGTCCTCGAACTCTTCCCGGACCTGGGGTCCCTTGTTGCGAAGAGGAACTTCAATACCTTTATCAACCCGACTCGGCTTGTCGTAGGTTGGGACCCGTTCACCCCCAGCGCTTGTCACTGACTCAAAGGAAGCCGAGTTGCCTCCACCAGAGATCTTGCGAACCTCCTTGGCAAAGCGCTCCTCTGCCTCCCGCAGAACTCTTTCTCGAATTGTTTCAACTTCTTGCTGCGTTGGACTCCTTCTATCTCCAGGTCGCTGTTCCGACTCAGTGCGACTTCCTGGTGCCTCTCTTTGACCAGGGTCACTCAAAAGGGATTGACATTGCCCTTACTCTGTTGAGGAGGCATGGAAATGAAGTGCGGGTCAAGATCTCAAGGCCGCGGACCAAGGCCACGGCTTTTGCCCAGTGGTTTTTTCCCCAGGATGCACTGGTAGTTGAGGCGATGACATCATGCCCATTTGCCCCCCATGAGGTGGTTCTTCAAAGAGTGGTCCCAGCAGGCTCTGTGATGGTGGAGGTGTGTAGGTTCCCGACCCTTGTCCGGCTGGACCGAAAGCCCTTTGCAACACTTCTAGGGATTGCCGCACCGTCTCTGGCCACCCATCTTGCCCTGGAGCCAACCTCCAACCATTGCCACCCTCTTGAGCCGAGGTTCTATCAGCCGGGCTTCGATCCTGAGTTGCCGCCATTGTCGAGGAAGTCGCCTGCCCATCGCCGCGAGCATCCGCCGCCAGCCGCCGCATCGTTGCAGATCTGGGTGGCATGGATGATGCTCTTGCAATCCTGGCTTCCTCTTCAAGGAGGGAGTCCAGCCTTTCGTTTGCCGCTCCGACCCTCAGTTGACCAGCTGGTCTTGAGGGTCCTTGACCTTCTCGGATCGATCTCTCGAGGCGCGGCGTCGGCGCATGAAATCGAACATGGCAGCCAGCAACTCAAAAAAGAGGTGGTCTTGGGCTCATAACCTGATGTTAGAGCGAAAACCTATCGCCCTGTTAGCCACGAGCGAAGTGCATGATTTCATGCTGGCTTGAAAGTTGACATGGAAGTGTCGTGAGCCACAAGTACAATATTTTGTGTGATTCACATATATTATATATATGGGGTGTATGTAATCAATTATTTTGTAAGAAAATATGATCTATATATAGAAAAACACAAAACTTGTATGATAATAATATATCTGGTGGAGGTGATTCCTCACTGTCGTCAATTCGGAAGGAGATTGCAAAGGACAATGACAAATGCAGCAAGGAACAACAAATTGCTACGTAGATACAATCGATCGCACCGGCTTCTTGCCGCACTTTTACGCCCTTGCTCCAAACTATTCATGCTAAAACTCTTTGGTTGGTTATTAATAAAATTATCCCTTCATCGTTGGTTCCTATTCGGATATAGTCCGGAAGATATGGTAACTTCCAACACAGTCTGGAGTTGCAATAAATTTCTTATCTGTGCACAAAAGATGCAACCTTGGTTGCCTCTGCCCATGAACAAAACCTGCTATCACGAAAATACTACATCATTTGGCACCTTTATCACATATAAATACATATCTACCCAAGTCTTATCTTTATTTATTCTTAGTCTATCAATAATTATTTTTTAATTGTCCTTATCATTCTCTCAACCTAATTAATGGGGGCTTTTGTTGTGTATTCTATTCCTTCTCCTTTAAAATAGGTTTGTCATTTCTTGTTATTTAATGTTCCTTCGTTTTCAGAATAAATTAATAATAATTAACCTAATACCTTGAAATATTCCATTACCATCAATATCGTTATTTTCCATTAGCGCTATATAACATTTTGTATTGAATATATCTATATATTTCAAGCCAAAAATAAATTAATATTTTTATTTCATTTTTAACCTCCCTCAATAGATTTTTTATAAATATCAAATCAAATTAAAATTCATATTTAAGATAAGAAGCAATATAAGAATTAAGATTCTTATAATTTGTTATTTGTTTGTTTGGTTAAAATCCCACCCATTATAAAATCACATCCAAAATTATATCTACATCGATTTTCCTAGCCTTTTCATATAAATCCTTTCACCGAACCGAAGCCCTCCTCCACATCGTAATAAATTTTTTTTCAATACCTTTTCTTTTGCCAATTTTATCACAAAAAAAATTTAAATTATATTTTAATAATATTTTTTTACATCATAAAATCATAATAAATTTACACTAAACACCTTTAGCACTTTTTGGTTTTCTTGTATTTTACCAGATTTGATTTGCAATTTATAACAGAATCGCATATATCGTATACGCACGGTCGTTTCGTCTTCTCTTAATAATATCTTTAGAAATATTGTTCGTCGTTCGGCTTTCTATTATAGTATCCGTCGTATTGCCTTCTCCATTAGGGTTTTGTAGTTTTTTAGACTGATGAAATTGCTTCATAGCCAAAACCGTTCCAAATAAAAGCAAAAATTTCATTCATCATCACAATTCCACTATTTACAAAGTAACAACGCATATGGTATATATAATTACCTATATATTTTAATATATATTTAAGTATGTTCATCCTCAATAAGAATTATATATATCAATTTGTATTTATAGTATCGCATATAAGTCCCTAATACGAACCCCAAAACAGTTTCGATATCAAAGTTTATAGGCTTGAGCATTTTACCCTTCCAACTTCCCACCGATTGATTTACTTTAGTGACATCCAAACCTAAACATGTTTGGCGTTCAAAACAGTGAGACTTGAGCTTTGTCGCAAGCCAATCCAAAAACCAAACCAATTTCGCCCAAATCGAGCCAGTCTTTCCCTAAAAGCGAGTCAGCCTTTCCCTAAAACAGAGCCAGTTTTTCCCCAAAGCCGGTGGCAGAATCGGTGACGGATTTCCCCAAAATCGGTGGTTGATTTCCTGAGAGCCAGCCTCGTTCACCGGAACCCCAACTCCCGAAACCAAAAATGCAAAAACACTTTTGTACATACTTGCTCAAAACACAAAAACAATGAGGGATTTCCAGCCCGCAATCCACTCGTGGAGCTCGCAGGAAAACACAACCGAGGGTGAACCTGTGGATTTCTCAAAAGAACTGCTCCCAAGACCAAATTGTCAATACTTTTCCTCCTTCTTGCTTAACCCTGTCAAAGGCACACCAAACTTTGTCCACTTCTTTTCCACAAATTTTCAATATATATTCCTCCAGTTTTCTTTTCAAGTTTCTTTCAGGAAAGCCGGTTCAAAATCAAGCACTTAGCTTCTCCCACAATGCATGGTTGGATTCGTGGCTGTGCTTGGGCGTATACATTGCCCGAGTGAAACGTATCTTGAACAGCTTTTGGTTCACTGTTTCTGCACCCGCTGTGTGCACAACCTGCTGGACAAGAGTGTCAACGCAGTGTCTCATATCTTGTGAGTGATGCACGGTCATGCCACAGCGACATCCACTCTACATTTACTCCAAAGATGGAATTCGTTGAAACTATTGGGAACCCTTGCTCTCAATTGGTTTCACCTCAGCCACAGAAGGGCAAGACAAGTGGAACGCTAGGCGTAACGCTGCTGAGAAAAACACTCACGCTGATGGCAATGTGAAGCCATAGCAATCTGTCCTTAAAACTGGAGGGAAAAACACAAACTTGAAGTGTGGTCAAACCAGCTGTTTCTCGAACCAAGCGCAGCTCAGAGGCGGCAAAAAAACAAAAATACATCAGAAGGTTGTAACATTGACATCAGTTTGAAGCCCTGCATGGTTAAAAACTGCTCAAAACAAAATACCAAGTGCCGGGCTCATCCGTGTTGCGAAGGCTTGCCGACATCTTTTCTTTTTTTATCCACTTTCCATCCTGCCATGAGCAAACTGGTAAACCACAATGCTGCAAAGGCAAGTTGAGACGGTGGTGTGCAAGGGGTTGGGTGAGGTGTTGTGAAAGAAAACAATTGGACAAATTCACCTGACCAGCGATTGACAAAAGAGTGAAAAGTGAAAAGGTAGCAAAGACATTGCAATGCAAAGCGCTGAGTCGAGCGAACAAACCCTGAGAAATTGAAATACAACTAGCAAACGAGTTGGTGGCATAAACAGCGGCTCGTCCTGTTGGCTAAAAATATCAATTTTGGAAGGCGCAATGGATAGTTCCTCCTCCTTCTTGATTGCCTCACGGCAAAGCGACAATAACCACCATGCACTTGCACACGCGTTGAAGAAAACACGTTCTGGCTTGCATCGCTGCCTGCTTTGTTTGTCTTCTTCATTCAACGTTCACCAAGGCACAGCATCAAGTTTGATTGAACAACAACAAGCTCTGAGCTCTGGACTTTCTTCAAATAGGCAATATTGGAGGGCACTGGGTCAATTGGGAAAGCGTTGCCCATCTGCTCGAATGTATCACCGTCCTGCAATTGCAACAGGGGGTGGGCGACAGCCAATGGCTGCGCCTTTCGATAAGCAAGTGCAAAAGAACAATGCGCATGACAAGCAATGCAATGCATTACGCAAGAATTTTGACCTTGGGATGTGAAAATGGCTGAAGGAAATTTCTTCATGAAGTTTCAGCTGAACAAACCACTTCTGTTCTTAACCTACCACTAGTCAAAGGCTTGAAAAGGAACAAAGGCACTTGAGGCCAGGGGGAGGAGGTCGAAAGCTAGCCGAATCGCACCGGATGTACTAGTCACATAGTCGGCAAAGCATGTAGTGAGTACATGTTCTGGGAGGAAGGTTGCTATGTACATACTTTGCGCTAAAGAATGTAAATGTGACATCGCTGACTGGGACTGGGAAGGGTACATTGGAACAGCCCGGGTGCACTCGTTGGCAGGCACGAAGATGCGTGATCGGCAAATCTCGGGTAAATTTACCCTCCGCATTTCTGACATCATACGGACTGTACATACACTAGGGCGTCCGTAGTGTAAGAGAAGCACGGGTAAAAGGTATATGGAATAGAGTGTCTTGAGGAAATAGCCGGCTTATGGTTATTGCAAAGCTGGGGGGTAAATTTACCACCCGCTTATGAGCATTTCTGGCATCACAAGGACTGTGCAAACACTAGGGCGTCCGTAGTGTAGGATAAGCACTGGTAAAAAGGGAGTAAAAGGTATCAGGAATAGAGTGTCTTGAGGAAATAGCCTATGTATGGTTATAGCAAGCCTTGGGAGTAAATTTACCACCCGCTTATGCATGCACTAGGTTAGAAATAGGGTAAACAACTTGTAAGGGTGAAGTACAAGTCCTATGCAGCAAGCAGCAGCCGGCAGCAGCTGCAGCAGAAGCAGCCGCCTGCAGCCAGCAGCCAGCAGCAACCGCCAAGCAGCCAGCCAGCAGCACCACGCAGCAGCAGCGCAGCACCAAGCCGCAGCAGCAGCAGCAGCACCACCGGCAGCAAGCAGCAAGCAGCATCGTCAGCAACAGCAGCAGCAGCACCAAGCCGCAACAAGTAGCAAAGCATGAACTACCTCAAATGATCTCAAATATACACGCAACTCATTATCATTATACCTATCAGTTTGTTAACTTCTGCATTGAATGAGCCACTCGAACCAGCAAAACGACGCCAACCCTGGACGGAGGCTGAAGGAACGACGTAGCATGGAGGTGAAATGGAGCGTGCTCGCCGTAGGACATGCCTTGACCAAGGATTGTAGACGCAAACAATTGCACAAACATATGCACACCTTGCCGCTGTCTGAACACCAGCCAGCAAAGCTATCACGCAATTCATTCAGTGGAATGGTGGTACGCACCACAACAATAAGCGAAGCGGCGCAGCTGGGAGTTGAACCGCGGGGGGGGGGGTTAGCTTGATATATCAATCTTTAAGGCACGCAGCCCCTCCCACCACAACATTGCTAAAGCAAAAAATAACTCAGCTAGCATGCTAGCTTTCGTGACTAGCGTGGCACCTGTTACTACTAGCGTCCTTGTTACTACTAGTAAGGCACCTGTTACTAGTAGTAAGGCACCTGTTACTACTAGCGTGGCACCTGTTACTACTAGCGTCCTTGTTACTACTAGTAAGGCACCTGTTACTAGTAGTAAGGCACGCCTGTTACTACTAGCGTGGCACCTTTACTACTAGCGTCCTTGTTACTACTAGTAAGGCGCCTATTGCTAGTAGTAAGGCACCTGTTGCTACTAGCGTGGCACCTGTTACTACTATGTGAGCGCACGTACGAACGAGCGAACGCACGCGCAGCTGTTTACGCTCACAAGGACGAGCGGAGGGCAACATACTTCTTCAACCCTAAAACAATTGTTTTCAACCCTAACCTTTTTTTTCAACCCTGCAACATTTTTTTAACCCTAGAACATTGTTTTTTGACGCTGTAACATTCGTTTTTAACCCTTGTACATGCTTTTTCGACCCTGGACCCTTCTTTTTCAACCCCGTCCATGTGGGTCCACCAAACTGATACCCGTAACTGGAAATGCGTTAACTTGCCCTTAGCCCATTTATGAAAATCCAGTAACATCTCGGCCAGTCTCAGATCTCAGTAAAAGTATGTAAAAGTTGGTTTCCTATATCCTACAAACTTGTTTCGCGTTGCACTTCCACTTCCCGAGAATGGTCCTTTACACAAGTCCCAGCACCCACGGGCCCATTCACAAGTTCGATCGAGCTATACAACAGAAAGCGTACTTGCCTATATATAGATATATGTCGGTGCACATGTCGGCCCTAGTTACCAGGACAATCTCTCGATGCAAGTGTGCGCGTGAGCCTAGCCTTTCCTCATAGGCTGGAGTCTGGAGGGCAGCCCGTGAGCCAAGAGCCAGACATGCCAAACACAAGCAATCACAATCGATAATTACAGTTCATGAAGCGACGCCCTTCAGACCCTTGAGAGCAAATGCACAGAAGAGTTGCTGTAGCAGGACGACATATTAACATGAATTCAAAAAACTCAAGGGACTAATGCGTAGGGTTATTGTCTTTTTGGGGGATGCCTTGCTATGGGCACTGGCCTGTTTAACTGTTTCAAGGCCACCAGTGCTCAGGAACTATTTAAAACCATGGAGGCTGTTTGGAACAATTCAAAGGCTAACTGGCCTGGAATGACTTCTAGCCCTGTGTATATGTGGAGAACCAAGCCCGAGGGAGAATATAAAAAACAACGGAAATCCTCAGTCCTGAAGAAATCCTATGGACTGAATGTGTTTAAACAAACAATCAGCAGCAAGAGCCAGTGAACGCAATTGATTCTTTTTCATCGCTCTCGTCTGGTAGTTTCACTGTCTTTGCAGACAAGTTCACTTTTGCCTCCCGAACATATTCCCCTAGCTCAGGAGACCTGACCTGATCATTCAAAAAACCTCAGCCCTGATCAGGGATGAGGTGCTGGAAAACAGCTCGCCCAGTCACTTCTTGGCTTTGGCCTTGGGAGTTGATTTTGGCGCGGCCTTGGCCTTTCGTTTCCTTTTTCCATCTCCTGAAGGATTGCCATCGCCCTCCTCATTCCTTGATTGATTGGTCAGTCAAAAGATAGACTGGACTGTACTGGACAGGTATTTGCTCAGTACAAGTACAAGTACTTTTTGGATGTCTGTTCTGCCCTTGTCTATCAGTCCAGTCCAATCTATCACTGATCTAAATTCCATGTTCCAAAAAGACAAAGCATCTTCTACCACACTTGGGAGGCACTAGCGTGGTCATGAGATTGGATGGCAAAAAATTGAAGAACTCAACTGAAACGAGATTCCCAGGCTGGCTCTTCTCAGAAGGCATTGCACCAAGCTTTGCCTGGAGGTGCTCGCTCAAATCTGAACGAGTGAGGCCCAGCTGCTTTGCCATGGTTGCGCAGATCTTGCGAGCACTGGCCAACTTGTCCGGGTACTTCTTCTCATTGATTACCAACTCCCCAACCATCATCGATCCACAAATCTCGCTCACCAATGAGCGCGTGTCCTACAAAATTGGAGCAACAGACTGAACCTGTTGTGGTTTGTTGGTTATGAGTTGGGGTGCAATGTTGCAATTGTGGCATTTGCATCCTCACAGTGTCTAAAGTCAAGGGCAAATCTAAACCATGAAAGGTGGCCCAAGTCCTGAATTTGTTTGTACATCTGAAGACAGGTGTCACGCAATGTAGAGCCTCCCCGGCCCTGGAACTTCTGAATGCTTTGAATATGGCGCAAAAAGTCTTCTTCCAAATTGGCATCAGAGCGCCATTTGAGCATTTCTTCCATGTCCTGGTCCACCTCCTTCTGGCCGTTGAACATCCATTGGACATTGTCAATGGCCCATGTCTTCACAGCCACGAGAAGTGGCCTCAATGTTAGCCAAGTGTTTTGTTTCCCTGGTCCCTTTCAAACATGGCTGTTGGATATTGGGGGTCACCAAACCTTGTATGTCTGTACTGTATGTAGTAGTAGCTGTAGCAGGGTTATGTAAGTCAGTCTGTAGCTATGGCCCTGCCTGTACTTCTCGATGATGTGTTCAATGCTTGTTTGTCCCCGCTTGATCTCTGTAGTCGCTTCCTCCAAGGCTTTCATGACAGAATCCTTGTAGGCCACTACCTTGTTGACCTCTTCCTCAGGCAGAAAGTCCCCCATCACGGAAGTATCCATTGATGCGACTGTCAAGCCCTTCTTCACGTACTTCAAGACTGCATTCAAGTCCTTCTTGTCCACTTCCACTGGTACAAGGTTCTTCAGGTGAGGTGCATTCTTGGCTAAGCTCAAGACAGGCTGGAGCTCAGGTGCCAAATGCTTGCAATTTGCAAGCGCAGGAGCAATCTCTTCTGGCCCACTCTGCTTCCATGTGCGGATGGCCCAACCCTTCCCAACGTACGCTATGACTTGCTCCAAGCGAGCAAGAAGCTTCTTGGCTGAACCATGCCATTCAGCTTTGGATGACAGGTGTGCACTCGAAGAGAGCTGCTTCTGAAGCTCTGCGTAAAGAGCGCATGCTTTCTCCAACATGTTCGCCTCAGCCTCCTCGTCTTGCATGCCCTCCATCGTGTCAAGAACCAGAAGCAACATGGTATTCTGCAACGTCTTCAAAGCTGTGTCTTGCTGCAGAACCCGGCTGCTAATCTCACCTGCCATGTATGCCCCAAACCCAAACCAAGAGAAACTGTGAGTGGCAAAGGATTCTGTGAGCCTGGGGTCTGGACATGAAGTAACTCACTCTGGATCAGAATTCTGTAGTACTGTGCTACGTGCTGCACAAAATGATTAGTCATCGTCATCTTCAACAACCCTTCATTAAGGTATTCGGTATTCTGCACTTTCATTAGCCCTCCACCTTCCACAATGAACTGCTTGACCTTGTCCACTGTAGACTCCTCCAACGCCAGTTTGAGGGTGGAAGTGTCAGCGAACAAAGAATCCAAAAAGGGACCCATCTTGATAGAGGAAGCACAAGGATGGTTTGAGAAGAATTCTCGGATCT